TTTTTTTTTTTTTTTTTTTTTTTTTTTTTTTTTTTTTTTTTTTTTTTGCCTCTTTGTGGTCTGTATTACATCGTTCTTAACATCAAATATGCAGAGTGCCGTTAATCACGATGTCATTGCTAATGCTGATGACGGGGAGAAAATGCATCTAGAGGAGCAAGCTTCTCAAGTTGCACGTAGAGCAGCCGAGGCATTGCGGCAATCTAGAATGCTGCGAAGTAATGAGAGTATCTCTGTTCCAACGTGGACTGGAAGGGCTGGAACTGCTGGTGGACCATCGTCTGTGCGTCGGAAGTTTGGTTCGACTGTTAACTCACTGGTAAACAGCAATTCCAAATGCTCAGCAATTCCAAGAAACGGAGCTAGCCATTTAAATGGCTGCTATGCAGCTGGAGCATCTTCCGGAAAGGCCTCGTCTTCAGCAGAACTACTTGCTAAAATCCGAGGAAACCAAGAAAGAGCACTCGGCGCTGGGCTTGAACATCTACCACAACCAGCTCCTTCAAGTACTCCAAACAATGTAAGAGGTGCAAATGTCGGTCCTTCTTTTAGAGTACAACCAGAAGTATTGATTCGTCAAATGTGTACATTCGTTCAACAAAGAGGTGGAACCACAGATTCAGTCAGTATTGTACAGCACTTTAAGGACAGGATACCCCCAAATGATCTGCCCTTGTTTAAGAATCTGCTGAAAGAGATAGCAATATTAGAGAAAAGCCCCAGTGGTTCATTCTGGGCTCTTAAGCCAGAATATAAACAATAATCTAAGCACGGTTAGTTTATTACTTCCATAGCACCAATCACTCGAGGCCCTTTCAACTCCCGATTTCCAGAGTAGGAATTTTGTTTATGATATATCATTCTTCCTCATCATCGATTTAGTTTTGCTATCCTATTGGGCGTAGACATTTTTGTTTTTTGTTTTCTAACCAAGCTGCGAAGGGTATTGGTACAGTTAATCTGGAGCAGATAGTCAACGATTCAAATTATCTTAGGCTATGGCATATTTGTTATTGCAAATTGCAATTCTATTCATTTTTATAGCCTCCCGTGAAACATTGGTTGTAAATTTGGTTGGGATTTCAATCTCAATGGATAACTCGTCTTTAAAATTTTGCTTGTACTCTACACTCCCAACTACATCTATTCACAACCACTCCACTTTAACAAACACTCAATAATTGTTAATGTACCATTTCTAGTATCTTAGCAATATTCTCAATATCCTATTAATATCTTAAAGTAATACACGATCATTATTGGTAAGGCAAGCAAAAGTTGACCAACCCTCTCAGATCCCAACATTCCACAAAAACAATTATAAAAGTGATCAGAACTACCACCACTCTACTTGATAGGAATGCAAATCCACCCATCTACAGTGCCACAGAGTAGATTATGTTGCTCAGGGAACATTTAGAAGCTTATGCTTGCATAGTTAAAGGTATCACTCTTCCCCGAGAGACCTGCCCCAAACGGGGTGGGGAGCCCCTGTTTAAGCAGGGACAGGGGAGGGATTTCTCCCCATGGCATTAATTAGTCAGTCATTTATTATATTTAGGAGGAAAGACCCTTCAAGTAGTCTTAGATAGCGATAGGCTTATATTTCTTTCCAAATTAATTTCAACACACACTGGCTCAGTGAGGCCTATCACCTTTACTATGTACACGACACATGAAAATTCATAAGGACATCGTTATAAGTAGAATTACAAAATGGAATCAATACAATTAGAAACAGAAATCGAAGGTAATGGATTGAAATGGGATACAGAGACAACCAGAGATAAATATCTCCATTAGGTAGGGAAAATAACTGGAGAAGTATACATATATATTCCAAGATTATTTTCCAAAAGATGGTATATGGTATTATCACTTATAACACTCCCCTTTCACCTTTTTCTTCCCCTTTCACCCTCAAGATGAACAAAAAATGAAGATTACGAAACCTCCAGAAAAAACATCAAACTAAGATCTTTTGATATCAAACACCAGCTTACATTGATCAGAATGCTGCCCATCCTGATGCTGCTGCCTTTGTTGAACCTGGAGCAGAAGGAAGATTTTTCTGCAACCGTGATGAAACAAGAGTTAAAAATTGTTCTAGACTCGTTTATAATTGACATGAGTAACTAAGGAGTCATACACTCATGCTACATGAGCTACCTATGTTATAAGATAACCTAAATAACAGGGATCAGTCAGATCTATCTTCAAAAAGTAGAAAAAACATAAGCCTGTTGCTTAAGCATTAGAAATAACTCAATATATTCATTACACCAGGCACTATTCTTCAAGTTGGCAGGGCAAATAAAAGGGCAAGCTTCAACAGTAGCGTCAAGATAGTTGTCATCTCCAATCACAAAGGAGAGAAACCAATACTTGAGTCTAATCAAACTTAGTAATTGTGTTTCCTAAAACTAATATAGATTTAAGTGGGTTGCGCATAAAGGACACAGATGAACCATAATACGTAAGCTAAAGGGGCAATTTATAGTCACTTAAGAATACCATTATTCTCTGTATCAAAGGTATAAGGAAAGAAACAACTAACAGCAGAAACTGTACCTCAAGTTGGGAAAGATCTGATAATGGATCGGCTGCATGCCTTACATTGTCCTTTTTTCCCTCGTGACCAACATCGCGGCATGCGCTGGCAGATAGCTTTCGAGCAGCAGGGTCATTTGGAGGGGGTGGAAGAGGAGACCTGATTTTCACAGCTCCAGTTGGTGGTGGAGCAAGACTCAATGCTTTTGGCTTTCCAGTACCAAACCCTGACATGCCAGCAGCTGATAGCATACCAGTTCCACCCGATGGTTTGTGCTTCACATTGATTCGTATTGTTTCACCTTCCTATCAGCCAGCCCATCATAAAGAAACACAAGATCACAATGACAATATAAAGCGTTCTGATTTTGAAAACTCGATAACATTGAAGACCTGGAACATAATGAAGGCATACGAATAAAGCGCAGAGTAACTTACTTATAAACTAACACCACCACTACCCAAGAGGCTAAGCCTGCCATGAGCAAATCTATTCTATTCAATGTGAGCAATTTATTTGCCTAATACTTAGATCAGAGATTTCATTTATCAGATCAGTTCGCAGTCATCAGATTTCACGTAAAGCACATCATCAAATGTCCATAAAATCACTTCAAACGACTGTAACACCAAATTAATCAACTTCAGTCGCTGATGAAAAACAAAATTAGGGCAATACCTTCAGTCTGTGATTGACAGCAGGATGAATATCAATTTGACTCTCTTCATTGGCATCGCTGCCAGTACTGGGATCCTTCTCATGATCCCTCCTGACGTACTTCTCATGGTCGGACAATGCGACATTGAAATCAAAAGCTTCATTTCGCTCGGCAAAACCTAACCCTACGAAAGCGTGCTTACCCTGTCCATCCTCGATCTTCAAAACGAAGTATCGAGAAGAGTCAAGAACGGTCTCGACGGAGTTGTCCCGCTGACCAGGATTAATAAAACAAGCAGCGAAGAGTTCACCGGAGTTGGGATCTTCCAACCGGATCTCACATCGGTCCTTACAGGACACAACCCTCAGGCGGCCGGACCAGATCTTATCGGATTGGAGCCACTCGCCGCACTTGTAGCCGCCGGATGTGGTTCGAGGAGGGATTTTGTAAACGGATACCTCGCGAACGACAAGGAGAGTGTGCTCGAAGGTCTCCTCGTCCTCCTCAAACGACATCGTGAAATTGTGAGAATGTGAGATCGATTGAGAAGAAAGCTTGAGGATTTACAGAGATGGAATAGGGGAAAATGGGATCCCCAAAGCCAAAGGAATTGAATTTATTGAGGAATTAACTATCAAGGTGAGCAGAAGACATCAGAACGAACGAAGGAAAGAAAGGAAGAAAGAAACAGAGACGTGGCTTCGAAGATTAGGTGCTTTGCGTCACAGGTCAACTCTACTGTGAGACCCCGGAGAGCTATGCCAATTTACTAATTTGCCCTTTCTCGATATCAAAATAATAATAATAATAATAAAAACATAAAGATAAATTGCAAATTTTATTTTTATTTTTTTAGATTAAAAAACACTCTTGGTTATGAGAAATATTAAAACTTTCCATACCAAATTTAGGTATAACTTCCAACTCCAAACGTTGGACTAAAAAAAAATTAAAATTTTAAGCATTATAATCTCAAATTTGTAATTTAAGTAATCTAACCACCCAAATTGAAATAAAAATCGAAAATATTGAGAAAAAAAAAAAAGAAAGCTAAAAGACGAAAATAGCCTTTCCAGTTGATTTAAATACGTTGTTAAACCCTAGCTTCGCGATTGCTTGTCTCCCGCCATTTCCGTTCTAGGGTTTTTCGTCTGGTATTGATTTCCAAAACCCTCGAATATATGTATATTTCATTTACAAAATTTTCTTCGAGTTAATATGCAACTGTTCTTTGTTTTAAGGGCTTTTGCATGAAGTTATGTGGAATGACTTGATTTTTCTCCAAAAATTTTCAGGTTTGAGTGTTTAGCAACGATGTATCTTCAGTTTTACATAAACGATAATGGCGACAAAGTCTATACCACAAAGGTTTATTTTCCCTCCTATCTTTTAGTTTTCTGTTTAATGGTTAATCGATGACTACCTATTTTCTCTGCTGGTCCGGGTTTGATTTTTATATCTCATATGCATAAATTGCGTTTGTAGTGCTGTTTAATTGAGATATAAATGACGTTAACTTCCATTCCAACTACGGAGTATTGGTCTTATTGCGTTACCAACAAGCAGTGATTCTATGGACTCCCTGATTTTGAAGATAAGGAAGGTTTACTGACCTTGAGTTTGGAGATTGGAACATTTATTTAATTCTATTTGTGCAGGCCTTCTTTTAAAAAAGATAAGAGCTATACCTATGTTGAGATTGAAGTAGATAGGCTACCATCATTCAGTGCCAGTGTGCAGTTTATATTTACATTGTATACCCATCCAATAGTTGATTAAATTTATAGTGACACCTTTGCTTAGAACGTCTTGATTTTCTGCAAAGTTGTCAGTTTGCTTAGAACTTCCGATCTTCCCTTCTTTCTTTCACCATATCATGATGGTAGATTAGAATTACCTTGATCCTTTCCCTGACATTGAGTGGGTTGAAGGTATTAGATTTTAGACGCCATTCTTTTTCTACTATTGGATTGGGTTTCACTACCAATGGTCTTCCATCATCACTGGCCCATTGCTTGGGACAAGTCTCTAGAGAAAGGAGAGCCTGGGTTTTGTAAGGACACTCAACTTCAGGATTCCTGTATCCCTGATTTACTTAATAAGATCATTCCCTCATCATTAATGCAGGAATTTGGATGTACTCGTTCATGGCAATGTTTTCTTGCCATCCGAGTATGGTGGTTGTTTCTCCTCAGCGGTGCTATTTTGTTACCTCATTAAATTTGTAGATCCCTTTCTTATGTACCAAGTTTTCAAGATCTTGTGGACTCTCAAAATTCAAAGCAATTCTAAGTATTTTGGCTGGGGTCCTTGCTCTTGAGGATTGAAAGCTGCTAGTACTTTGCAATGAATGTGTTCTTTCAAGTTTTTGTCTCTTTAATGACACATTATTTGTATGAACACCATGGGAGATATTAAGCACCATTCCTGTACACTGTGAAGCTGTGGATGGCTTTATGAACACCTTTAGCCTCTAGCGATGCTCACCTAACTCCTTTTCTGAAGGTTTAGATAAACTTTTATGAGTGTTCCATTTCTCTGATATTTCTTCAGACCAATACATCATCAATGGAAATCTTAAGGAAGCTGGGGCTGGAGGAGTTGGAGTCCCTTTAAAATTCATTCATCTTTGGAGTTTTTTGGAGATGTTTCAAGGCCTGTAGAATTTACTCTGATTCTAATTATATCAATTTATGCGTTTGAATACATGATACATGTTGGAATGCTGTAAGATAAATACTATAAGACCTTCAATGGATAAATTCCCCAAAATTATTTTTCCTTACTTCCACTGACCCTGTGGTTTCCATTTCCAATTTCTTTCAATGGTACAGACCTGCTCTCGTGCTACTCTTTTTTCCCTCCTTGACTCTATTGACAACTATAACACAATGTCGTTGCAGACTGCCAGCTTTGAGGCATAGACAAGATATTTATTGTTTAGGGTCTGGATTTTATTCAGCACCAACTAAATTCTAATGGGCCTGTGCTGAGTTTTTAGAGTTGATAGTTATTATTATTATTATTATTATTTTAATTTATTTTTCATCTTTGGTAATAATTGTACATTTTAAACTGAAAACCATTTTTTTTCAAAAATATACAAATGAGTCAACCCCTGCGTATGCTTCAAGTTCCTTGTACCCATTGTTAATTTCCCTGCACTCTTTATACTTTAATGTGATGTATGCTAAATTATTTAGTTTTCATTTTCCTCTATTGTACAGAAAGAATCGCCTCTAGGTTTGGTCACACAATCTGCGCATCCAGGTACTCTTGTACATTATCTTCCTAGTATTGTTCCATCTCGTTAATATCAATGATTTTGGTAGGGAGAAAGGGCATGCTTGTAATATCTTCTTATCTTTGTCTTGTGGTTTATTTGAGTTGTAGTTGTGAAGATTGCAATTATACATTCTTGTGAATAGATTTGCCCTGTTGATAACGTAATTTACACCGTGCGGATGGCATTAGAGATAACTTAATTTATTCTCTATATTGTGTGATTGGCTTAGTTCAGATTTGTCTGCACGCCTGCCCCCCCTTCAATGGGATCTTGATTTTAGCAGCTTCAAACCTGATTACCTGTTGTACATTTTCTGACTGCAGCCCGTTTCTCCCCTGATGACAAATACTCGAGGCAGAGAGTACTTCTTAAGAAGCGATTTGGCTTGCTACCCACGCAGCATCCACCTCCAAAGTACTAAGCCGACTGCGTTATCAAATCAGTTGATTCTTCTGTTTAGTCACCCCCCCAAATAGTAGATCGTGACTTGATGAAAGTTTGATCTGTGGCTTGTAATCGAGCTTTAAAGCACAAACCAATGTTGAACCTTTCTTTAAGCTTGGCTTTATATTGGCATCGAACTTTATTTTACCGAAAGCAAACTTATCTACTTTGAAGAACTGGTTAATGCAAGATGATGGACCTTTTTTTCATACTTTTTTCCCCACTTTTGTACAGCATTGCAGTTGTCAAGCACCAATGTCAGCTGATCCTTTCTAAAGTTGTCCTTGTATGTGTATTTAACCTGCTCTGCTAACAATCAATTGAACCTAAGCCATAAGGTGGGAGTCCGCAATTCCTTCGGTTGGTTTTGAAGTTCAAGTTCCCTCTCTGTCCTGGTTTGCAGTCAGACGTATGCACTGAATTTGGACGATTACAACTTGGGAATTCATCTTGTGCACAGATAATAAGGTACGCAAGGTTCATTTTGTGATCCAGTGGTTGGATGAACTACAATTAGATTAACAGGGTTATGTGCTTCTCTTGGCCAGTGAATATGCCTTTTATTTCAGGATATTAGAGTTTGAACCTTTAAAATGGGTTAGGACCTGAGAGTTTGGGCCTAAGTGGCCATATAATTTTGCTCCCAAGAAAATAACTGAAACAGATATATCATCATCATCAAGTATTTTGATTGGGGTTTGATGTCTCACATAGTTTTGTCTTTCATAGGACTTGTTTAATGGTTAACTTAAGTGAGAAATATATATAACATTAGTTTAATTAAAGTTGGAACATTTTAATCTAAACACAAAGCGTGCCAAAGTTGTAGAATAAAGGCACATTGTCATGTGTAATAAACCGCGTGTGTCGAATTATTGTCGCATTAAAAGCGTCTTTCACAGAAATGACGTTGTCGGATGCGTTCCATGGAAACATGAAAAAGGAAACGTAGAAAAAGAAGAAATAAAATGCTAAATGAATCTTGTTGAAAGGATTGGTGGTAAGATTATCTTTGTTAATAGACATTGTTTTTTAGAAAAGCAGGAGGAAGAACATGGCACCCAATGAAGAAGACAAAGACCAATAGCCCTTTTCTTAAATCACAAAAGCCATTCTAACATGAACAATTTCTTTAATCTCAGAAAGATATGATTTGATATACGTGAGTCTAAATCAGGGAGAGTTTTTGGTAAAGTAATTTAACACAATTTCTTGTTATTATTATTACAATTCAAAATTAAATTTGACACAAAGTGATCATGAATGGGCCCATTAATAGAAATTTTTTTGTTTGATGTTATTTTAGCTTCACATCTATCATGATGGTGATGATCCACGAGCATTTACTCTTTCTTACTTTGAATTAAATATGGTCCAAATACAACATTTTATTTTTATAAAAAATTAGGAGACAGAAGTTGTGTATCTTAATAATCTCTCCATTTCTCAAATAAATAGAGGAAAAAGAAAAAAGACACAAATAATAAAAAACTTCGTCTGTTTGGTCGTAGGTGTCAAATTTGAGCCTATCCTTTCATTGATTATGTGTAAGTTGATATGAATCCAATATTTAATAGCAAAAATTATGCATAACACCGAATAATAATTGGAGTATTAAAATGGATTATTGGCCTTACAGGGACTGTGTTTGACATTCATTTGACATATATACGTGTAGATTATTTGGTGATACATGTGCTTGATTATGAAATAATTTTTCATACGTGGATCACTCGTGTTGCTTCAATATCTTTCTATTCTTCTTCTTCATTTTTTTAATTCAATAGAAAAAATCAAAGAAACCCTCCATCTTAAGGAACTTTCCCCTCTCAACTTTGGTTCAAATTAATCGCTACAAAGTCAATTCATCATGACTCCTGTTTTACACTAAACTTTTTTTTATTTTTTATTTTATATACGATCACTAGCAATGCTGTTCATTAGTTTGCTTGTCCCAACCAATCAATATGCCACATAAGCATTCAATTCACAAAATTTAACCAAGTTCACAACAAGAATTTATCAAACAAGAGATTGAAAATTCAAAGATGTTGGATTAGACACTTTTCAAGCTCATAATTAAAATTTGAAATTAGAGGGAGAGAAAAACAAATTAAAAGGTGGTGATTTGAGGCGAGGGGTGAAAATATTAAAAAGATTTAAAAGATTAAAAAATTAAAAAGGCAATAGGAAATAGGAATCCATTGAAGTGTTGCTGAAAATGATTAATTGCGTAAGGAATATAATTCCAACTGAAAAGTCCTTTTCTATGTAACCTAAGCAAAGCATCAGCTTCTCCATACCATCTTTTTTTTAACACTAAGAATCTCATGGCTTCTTTTTTTGGTTAACTCATTTTTAAACATTTTAATTATATTAATATGTGGGGTAAGGTATTAATCAATCGTCTTTTCTTTTCATTTCTCTCGTTTTCGTGGTGAATTATTATTACATTCTTCTTCAAATTTAATTCAATTCAGATAAACGTCTCAATCACACCATTAGATTATTGTTATCTTAATTTTCTACCTAATATTCTATTGAATTTTTAGTTTTTGTAACGTTCTATTACAATCTTTTTTAAAAAAAGAATGCAAGTAATTTTATCGACCATCTCGATAGAAAGACTAGAAATGTGATTCTCTTCAAATAAGTTCGTATTTGATTGATAGGGAAAAGAGCATGATTGATAGCCAAAATTTTGTTGTTTTTCAATAATTACATAAAAAAATGTGGAACACCATTCCATTTGGTTGCTAAACTTAAAAAAAAAGATATATCGAGTATATGATTATTGGATTTTGTCCATCCGTTCTTGATGCTCGAACCCAAACCATCTCTTGTCTATTTAAATGTGGTCGTTATCAACTTCAACTGTACGAGTTGTATATTGTTTCACTACAAATAATTATGGTTGGTTTTCATTGTATAAGAATGTTTTGCGAAATGGGACACTATTTATACTTAATTTTCACGTGATATCAACGATAAAATTTGTTTTAAAGAGTAAGAACACAACATGTTGGATGACATCGTTGTCTCCCTTCTTTCTTGCGCTTTCTCTTTCTCATTCCCATACCGACCACTGGCCCCTCGAGGCTCTAGTATTGAAGATTTAACCGTACATTTTGAAATGGAATGATTAAATAGAAAAATGGAGTTAAATGGTACAAGTTAAAAGGTAAAATATAACTTTCAAATTAAGGGCAGGAAGAATGGTGAATTAAATGAAGAGGGAAGAAGGGTCCAAAGATTCAGACACCAGCCTCTAAAGTTTGGTGAAGATTAGGGTTGCTTGGATATTAATTATTGATATAGAGCAATCAACTTCACGTACTTAGAAAAATAAACAAAACTCTGCAGCCTTTGGCTTCCCATCTTTTGATGTGAACCCCAATAATTTGGATCTTCCTTCCATATTTAATACTAAATTATAGTTTAGAACGGACAAATATTTTTTATCATACATACTTTTCATTAATTGTTCTTCTCATTTATTACTATTTCTATATCCTTATAATTTATTTGGTACATTGATATACATTTTGGCTTTCATTTGGCTTTTATGGTATGTCGACCAACTCTTTAAATTTTCATATTCTATCGTATAAGTTTACAATCTAGTTACTTTCCTCGATCCATGAGCATATAATTGAAAAATATTAATATAGAGTTTAAACATAAAAGTTGATACAATATTAATTAAATCACCATTAAAAAAAAAAAGAAAAAAAAAACTTGGAGTTAATAGATTTCAAAATAAAGAATGAACCGAACAAACCGATTCTATCTATCTTATTCAAACTTTAAAAGAACAGTTATTATGTCATGTTGAAGACATGTGTGTGTGTTTCCCCATGGTTTTTCTGGAGCTTTGTTGGTGGCTAAACAAAAGGGTTTGCGAAGATTAAGGCATGTGTTTATTACAAGTTGTGTGTGGTTTGGAAAACAAAACGGTAGCTAGGTGGCGAAGGAAGCTTGGAAATAATAAAACAAAAAAAAAAAAAAAAACACACACACATAAATATTCATATTTTGCGATAACTTTACTTGTAGAAAACAATTTCCCATGTCTGCAAGCTACTCACCGAATCTTTTGAATTGGTATTATCTGAACTTGATTAACTTTGAAAATGACTCATAAATTGATATGTGTGAAGAAGATGAGGGACCCCAAGATATTCCAAATCGTTTTCAATTTTTAAGCGACTGTGCCCAAAATAAAGGAAAAGAAAAGATAAGAAAAACCCTTTTTTGCGATGGTGAATTATTCCTCATTTATTGTGTTATATAGTTGAATTGCATACGTTAGCTTTTGTTTGAAAACAATGTTATTCCAATATGATTAAGTCTTGTGGTTGAAGCCAATTCTTTAAAAGGGTGAGTTTGTTGGATAAAAACAAAGTGAAACCCATAATAGATCAAAAGGGTTTAAAAGGGTTTAAAAGGGTTTAAAAGGGTTTAAGGGAAAGCCTAATCTGAGTGAATTAGAGAAAAATTAGGGTTTTCGATAGAGTAATTAGGGGTTTGGAAGGGAAGGATTTTATGTAATATTTCGTGGGATATGGAACATTTTTTTCAAAAGTGAAACCGAGCTTTTGGATAAAGAGTTTTTAAATACACAAAAAGTTGCTAACTTTATGGTAAAGTTGTGGAAAATTGGTATCGCTCGCACATGAATGCCAAAGTACATTTATTATAATCATATCTTAAAAAAAATTATAGATTCTCATATTATATTTTACCCGACATCTTTTAATACTCATTTTTCTTCATCATAATTATTTATTCTCGCGTTGTTAACGACTCCATTAATTGAATTATAATGATGAAGTTAATAACTTCATTCCTTAATCTAAATACTTAGATTTGTACTAGTTGGACCCTATTTTTTTAAAAGTTGACTATTGCATATTTGTACTAGTTCACTATTGTAATATTAAATTAAATGATTAAATATTGATAATTGTTCGATAATCTTTCTTTTTTAAAAAAAAAAAAAAAAAATTATTTGGTAAAAAAAATGTAAGGAAGGTTATAAAGATTATAAACATAGATTTTTATTTAAAAATAGAAAAGAAAAATTAAAATGATCACTAGATTAACATAATAATAGGAGATTAGTGTGTTTGATTAATCAAGTCTCGCCATCACTATTGCAAGATCCAAAAATCCAAGAGTTGGGCTTAGCAGCATGAGTCTAAATGATTAATTAATTAATTAATAGAGATTAGCATGTTAAACCTAAAAAACCCATCAATTAAGGTGATTGGCATGCATGTATCAATCAAGAGACATGTCATCAATAGTTTTATTTTTATTTTTAAAAAAAAAAAAAAGTGAGTATTTTTAGGAGTATTTTGGAGGAATTAATTATTGGATGGAAATATGGGAGAATATGAAGCCGTTACTCATTCTCCAACATATCATATAAATCTTTCATTTATATTAACCAAACAAACTTTCCTCTTTCCAAAACAAACCCTAACCCTACAATTCATTAAATCATTATAATAAAACTTTCATACGTCATCTCCTCCCGCTTTACTTCTTCCTTAGGGTACATTTTGCCACCATCGTTAATTACATCATTTACGGTATCATCGATCAAGGCATCAAAGATCTAAATCCTTCGATCAAAGACATAGTTTAGTTAATTGAAATCTCTACTTACCTTCGTCAAACAGACTCGGCTCGACCTAAAAATTTAAATATTATTTGGATTAATGTATTGATTTTTGGGATGATTACAAGAATCATGATGTTTTATTGACCGTTGTCAAATCATCATTATCTACCAATTATTATGCATTACCTACAGCTATTTTTTTAAATTTTTGTACAATTTTGTGATGTGCATACTTTTGTCCACATTTAAAAAATTATTGGCATTCCCTTATTGATGTGCAAAACTCTTAGAAGAATGGAGTTGTTCATCATATAATATAATTCTCTTATGATCATTAGCAATAGGCCCCATTTTTGTATGGTCCATAATCCCACACATTTATACAATCATATGAGTTTTGTGGCTGATTAATATAATTGAATGGATGATAGAGCCCTCTACCCATCACTTAATTCTTTCAAATACTTTTCCATCTTATAAAACACCTCTTTTCTTATCCAACTTCGCTCTCGTTTAGAAAACACGTCTGTTAAGGACAAGTTTCCATATTTGTATAAGGAATGTTTCATTCCTCTCTCCAATCGAACTGGGATCTCACAATCTACCCATTTAGGTCCAACATTCTCACTGGCACCCTTTGATCTTTAACTTTGATATCATTTGTAACAGCCCAAGCCCAAGCCCGTCGTTGGCACACCACATGATCTTTAGCCCATTACAAACGGTGGAAACTTCTTCCTAATTTTTAGCCTTGGTGTTTAGAGATTATTAAGTTATTTTATTTTGAGTGAAGGAATATCTAAGAGTGGTCAACCGAAGCATATATCTTAATTGATTAAGACATATATCATGGATAAAACAAAAAAAAAAAACAAAAGTCAAATGCTTGAATCTTGCGGGGAGAAAGAAAACGAAAACCTAATAATATAGAAATAAAAATTCAAACTTTAACCTTTTTAACTTTAATTGAATTACGTGGTATTCAAGAAAATACAAAATTTTAACTGCAATCCCCACTTTAATAATTGTAAATACAAAAAAAGGGCTGTTTTGGATAGTTTCCTTGTAAAACTCTTTTGACCTTTTGTACATATTTTGCAAGTGTGAATTAGTTTTGTAAAGATCTGTTGTAGCTTGTGAATTTGCTCCAAAACTTTACCATTATAACTAACCCGCTATGCAAAAGCTCATAGCAACTTAATAGGCAAAATAATGGCATAGTCATCCCTACCCCAACTATATATATGAACACCAACCCAACCAAATCCTTATTTCTTATTGCATACCCATTTCTTTGAACCCTTCTTTCTCTTAAATTCCCCTTTTAAAAAGTTCTTGGATTCTGTGTTGAATTGGATTCCCAGAATTTGCATCCAGCCCTTGAAGAGTTTATAAATTACAGTAATGGGGCTTAAAGATATTGGAGCTTCACTTCCCCCAGGGTTTAGATTTTATCCGAGTGATGAAGAGTTGGTGTGCCATTATCTTTACAAGAAGATTATGAACGAGCAAGTTGTTAAGGGCACTCTTGTGGAGATTGACTTGCATACTTGTGAGCCATGGCAGCTTCCTGGTACCTTCTTTTTAACTTCATTTCATTATGTTCTTCATAATTAGGACATATCTCTTTGGTTAAGGACACTGTGATTGTTCTTCCAATGATGTCCCAAAACATTGCCTCCAAAATTCATGCAAAAAGAGCTGATTTGGGAGGTTTATGTTTAATTAATTAATTACTTTTGGTTTTCATTAGTATGCTAATGATCTATAATGGATTCCCTAAATTCTTGGCATATACCTTAATCAATCTAGATATGTTTTAGTTTATTTTAAAAAGATGAACTTTTTTGCATGGTTGGTGAGAGCTGTACTTATAAAGTTTTTTTTTTTTTTTTTTTGGGTTAAATTTTTGTGTAAACTTGAAACAGAAAACATGAAACTTCCGTCTTATGAAGTGGTTTATGTTACAGAAATCTGTGTTTGGGGCTATGTTCTAATGTCTTTTCTTCTGTTTTCTGAACATTTTTAAAGCAAATTTTGTGATAAAACAACATTGATTTCATGAAATTTCCTTAATTATTTGTTCGGTCCCTAAGGTACGAGGATTTGACAGTGCTCTCTTAGTATTTTTTACATTAAATATTCAAATAATATCTCATTCGCTGTCACCACACTCGTACACACCTGCATTCATGTTAAAATCTTGACTTTAGCGTTTAAGAAATTTCCATGTTTTGACGTCGAATTATTTTAACCATTGAACTATATCGAAGCGGATCTGAATATTTTCAAGATGAATATTGAGAAATTTGGTCCGATGAGTCCCCCATAGATGGATGCTTGAGCTAGCTTGTGCTTGTAGAACAAGCTTCATTAATTGTTACTCTCCAACTTGCAAATATTCTCCAAAACCCCAATCATTTCATTTCTTTATCGTCTTTGTCTCCATTTTGCTTCCTTTTAATTTCTTCGTTTGGGACATAATATATATCAAATCTTTCATTCATCAAATTTCATGTTTTTTGTTCCATACATTTTCCTCTCTAATCCAAATTATCTTATTTTGTTGTTTATAATCACCAACTAATATAAATAATTACATAACTAATCATAACAAAAATATCTTCAAACCTTTCTTTGAGTTTGAGACATTGATTAATTAACACCCAATAATCCAGCAATGAATAATATATAATCAAAGGGGTCATTTTCCCTTCCCCTTCCTATCTCTTCCATAAACTGTTCATAATTAGTGTAATGAAAATGAAAGATTAATATAAACTAATCATTCTTTTTTTTTTCTCTAATATATAGAGGTGGCGAAGCTGAATAGCAACGAGTGGTACTTCTTCAGCTTTCGAGATCGAAAATACGCTACAGGATTTCGGACGAATCGCGCGACGACATGTGGGTATTGGAAAGCTACTGGAAAAGATCGAACGGTGGTGGATCCTTCAACAAGGGAGATCGTAGGGATGAGAAAGACTTTGGTGTTTTATAGGAACAGAGCTCCAAATGGGATTAAAACTGGATGGATTATGCATGAATTTCGGTTTGAGGCCCCACATCGGCCCCCAAAGGTTGAATTTTTCATCTTTAATTCTCTATTTCTTAGACCATTTAGACAAATCTCATGGTGTGACCACATACACACATTCAAAAGTTGGTGTCTTTCTCTTTGGTTTACATACAAATCTTTTCTAAAGTTGCATTAACAGATAACAAACAGATGTTTATATCTATGTTTTGTTTTTATTTAGAATTAGAGGATGCTATTAATGAATGAGTTTTGTTTGTTTAGTAAAAGAGAAATTCATAATCAAAATAATTATGAAAGATACTTATAGTAATCACACAACAAAAAGTGGAACTAATTTGGAATTATCTCTATGCTTTAATTAACAAGAAAATGAACCAAGTTTATATGGTGGGTGCAGGAGGACTGGGTTTTATGTAGAGTGTTTCAAAAGGGCAAGCAAGAAGAGCACAGCATCAAACTCAACCAACATTTTACATTTGAAGATTTCGAGCGCGTTCCCACTGTCATCCGAGCTCCATCTCCCCTTCCAAGCGACCCGAGTCCGATCGCCATGCCTTGTGGCTACAATGTCGATATCACTTCATTAACCTCAATGGCTCCCCATCAGAGTCATGGCTACATTGGCAGCTGTTCTTTTCTCCATCTCCTTCAACTCCCTCAAGAAAAAGATGACAATAATAATAATCCCGAAGCTGATCAACTTTTCTGCCCCAAAAATGACTCTGATTATGGGGTTTTGTGGAACATGGACTTGGAAGAACATACCTTTCAAGATGGCGCCATTTCGAACTTGGATCAAATGGCCTTCGACGTCGAAAGCAGCCTGGTTTTCCTCTGAACTCGTATCTATCTGCTACTGCATATCTCAATGGGTTGTTTGTTCATATATAGTTTGATATGGTTTGGTGTTTGGATTTAGGAGAGTGTTTGGGGCATTGTTGTGTGCTTAGGACACACTTGGATTTCATTTTTTCCTTTAAATCTTTGTTCTTGCTGTATACAAAATTAGTTAAACTTGTAATAAAGAAATTTAGTTAGCTGCATTACTGTGGATGTAATAAACTCTTGATTTTTGATACCACAGAATAGAGTCGGGACATTCAGTACTTGTGCTTACGAAGAACTATGATCCACAAAGCATTGGATGATGAATCGAGAATGTCAAACCAGCGCTTATACCTTTTCCTTTTGCTAGATTTGGTAGTAGTTTTTCCCAAAGGACAAATGAGAATTTAGGTCGTAAAAGAAATACACTCAACCAGTTCAAAGATTTAGTTAAAAAGAATACGCGTCTGAAGCCCTTCCTACCCGAGTCGTGCACACACTTCATTGGCACGGACACATGGCACCAGGCTCTACCAAGGCTTAAGAATATAAGAGGACTCGGGCTACATAATATCAAGTTTTCTTATACACTTCGATTGCATTATCAATGTTGAACAGTAATTCAAAGAATTGAACAATAAAGAAATGTGGCATATGTCAATCACAGTCCTGAAGAAACTAGGCCATGTAATGTGACAATGCCAATCAACATATTTTGAAGATTGATAACAGGCAGAAATTGAACAGGAGATGGGGGAGCTTCCATCTTTTTCATGGCATCCACCGCCATCGCCTCGGGATCAATTGTTCTCGGTTTCCTGTCATACGGTTTACCATCAAAATCAATCCCTAAACTATTGGGTATCAACGTAAAGAATGGCATCCTCTGCATCAGTTGTTGAAGTCTGTATCCAGATAGTACAAGTTTGGCAAATAGCAAGATCTTGTATCTCATGATATCAACTAAAATGAGTGAGTATTAGAGATTCGTACCTGTTGCACATTTGGCCCACAGTGAGCTTGAAGATGCCTTCACCACTAGCTTTGAGAGTGCGCCTCAAATCACCGTCGGTAAATGTCCCAATCAGGTGATATTCCTCATCTATGACAAGTAGGCAGCCGCATCCTTTGCTGGTAAGCTCCACCAATTGATCCATTATTAGATCTCCTTCTTTGCACACAGGAAGCTCACTCTGTTTCTTCATCACATCTTTTACCTGCCACCAAAATAACATCCGTACTTATCTGAAACAACTTAGTGTTGCATTAAGATACTGAAAATTGGTGATAAAATTAAGTCGGGAGTTCAAAAACAGAGCTATGTAAACAAGTCGAAACCAGCTGAAGATCAATCAAGTGAAGTAAAAGGAGAAGTACCTTGAAAATGAGGCTTTTGCCGATCCTCCCAGCGGGGTGATTAGTGGCATATTCCTCTTTGGTCAAATTGCGCGCACCCATGAGCGCAATCGCCACAGTATCACCAAAAACCATCTGAATCGCAGTGGAGGTGACCGGGGCCAGATCAAAAGGGCATAATTCACGCTCGAGAGGCAAATGCACATTCATATCACAAACCCCAGCAAGCACATTGGCTTCAACAGAGGTGACGGCGATGAGGTACGCACCTTTCGCCCTAGCGCAAGGAACCAGGCGAAGAAGCTCTTCGGTGTTGCCAGACTTGCTAAAGAGCACAAGAACATCGCCGGAATTCAAGATGCCGATATCCCCATGAAGCGCGTCGAGAGGGGAAAGAAACGCGGATCGGATTCCGAGTGAAACTAGGGTTTGTGAGATCTTACGAGCGACGAAACCGGACTTGCCGACGCCGGAGAAGAAGATGGTACCGGGTGCGTTGAGAAGGGTAACGGTGAATTTCAGAGTCTGAGAGAGATCGAGATTGTGGAAGAAGAAATTGAGGTGATTTTGCTGGGATTTGAAGAGATCGAGGAGTGTAGATTCGTCGATAGGGCTTAGATCTGGATTTGGATTTGGGGATTTTGGGGGCCATTGGCATGAAGAAAGGGACATATCCCCAACCGGAGGAAGAGACCCCATTAGCGAACTGAATTCAGAATTCAAAGAGAGACAGACAAGAAACAAAACCGGATTTTATTTCATCTCTGGTTTTGGCTTCACATTTTAGTAAAATGGAGAAGACAACGACACCAATTTCCGTTGCTTTACAATTACAGCTCACCTCTGTCGGTGGATTTATGCCCTCTTGAAATTAAGAATCTAATGTTCCTCTCATTTCATATATTTTATAACATTAATAATAAGCTTGTTTGTGATGTTCCAAAAGAAAATGTATTATGTATTTAATGAAACTAATAATATTTTAAATATCAAATATAAATATGAAAATAAAAATATCAATTTAAGCATAACTCAACTGATTATTACCTCGTATGAGATACATGAGACTTGAACCTCAAATGTCTTGATTGATAATATATACATTAACCAGCTGAGCTATGCTCAAATTGGTGAACATAACTTTATTGATTAAGTAATATATTATTGACCTCGACATTAAAAAATAATCTAATGTCATGAGCATCTTGACTCGTTATTGCTCCATTATATTACTAGATTTGTAAGCTAATTTAAACAAAGTTTGATAAATAAAACACTAATTATCATTTCAAATGTTGACAGTTTAGTCTCGTCATGCTGCTGTAGAGTTAAAAGAAAAGAATTATTAATTTTGATGTAAAAAAAAAAAAATACCAATTTCTAAAAGATAAAATTACAAATTTTGTTCTAAAACTGATTTTCTTTTAAAGGTTCACACAAAATTAAAAATTTATATATTTATAAAAGTTTGAAATTGGTGAAGGTAAGCCCATGCGAAACAGAGATTAAGCAAAGAAGCCCATAAGAAACAATGCAATTTGGGCCGAGTTGAAGGCCCAAATGTGAGTGCACCATTACCATAATAAAGATGCAATCGACGTGGAATCAATGGAAGACATCAAACCTAGTACAGTACACAATAATAATGTATCCTACGGTGGATTGGAAGGATTTAGGAGCAAAGTTTGGTTTAAGATTTACAAGTCGCTTTAAATACAAAAAAAGAAAAAAAAGAAAAAAAAGAAAGATCGTGGAGCCGCCTGTGAATAGCGGAAAGTGCAGGCCACGTGCGGAGCTGTGAGGGGTGTCGGCTACAGTGACAGTGCGGTCATTACCCGCGGAACGATGAGGTCCTAATCTGGGACCGCTCCGTACGAGACCGTTGTCATGTCAACGTCTTTACAGGTCCAATTTGTAGAGGTAGCTGTTTATAAATATGGAAAATGTTTTTTTTTTTTTTTTATTTTAATTTAAAGAAGGCTTTGGAGAAAATATTAGATGGGATGTAATAATATGCATTTCGTGGGAAAGGCGTAAAGGTTTTGAGGTTTTAGTTGGAAGTGTAGGTTAGGGATGGAATGAGTAGGAGGGCATGCAATGGCACATAAGCTTTTAATATTCACCCACTCGCTGCACTTGCGAAAATTGGTGTGTCCAATGGCTGCCCCTCTTTGCTTGCCAAATCTTCTTTTTAAAAAACATTAGGAGCATCTACGAATACTCATATTCTTTCTTTCCTTTTTCATTTTCTAAATGCCCACCTCCCTTTTTGTTTCAGTGGTGAATCTAGTGTTTCTCTTAAACTAAAATACCCCAAACTCTCCTCTTATTCTCCAACTCATACTCCATTCTTTCTTATGGTGTCGTATATGGTTACGTTTTCGAATTCAACATCTCATATTTTCGTTTGAGTTATCGATGAACGACAATATTATAGAAAAGAAGTCAGATATGTTCTTCGACTCAACAATGAACTCTGCGAACTCTAACACATTTGCTAAGAATTACATGATTCAATGCACTCAACGATCATTTTTCTAGCCATTCTCACTTTCTCGACGCTACCGTTCATTCAAATCCTCCTCTCAATTACGACACTCATTGATCCTTCAACTCCAATTATCTTCAGTCCTGGCTCGTTCAACTCCAATTTTCAATATTTTACCTCGGGCATCGGGTTTTTGGTTTCAGTCGATTGTTGATTTACAATAAGTCACTAGTTACATATTTCACACGAATATTAGATAGAGAAATAGGGAAAATATCAAATTTTTACTCCAAAACTTAAACTAATTAGAACGGAAAACATGCATTGAGGTAATTTGAGTGGACACAACAAAATAACCTCAAAATACGAGGATTGTTAAAACTCATCGGACAACAATATGAAGCAATACTTAATTTTGTTTTTGTGTTCTGTCTAATCATCAGAAACCAACTGCAGAAGTTGTCTTCGTTAAATGTAATAAACAATGCCAAGAATTGGCCTCCTACCACATCGTAATTTCTCTATTTTAATCCATTTTTCTCAAGTTGTTTCACACCACAGAAACTAATGACAGAGAGACAATAAAATTCTGGGTGACATTAAAACTCAGTATTAATGTAAACCCAGCAGCATAAAAAGGGGGTTCTTTGTGCCATCCCTCAACTAAACAGAAGAATTTTATGAAAGGGGATTAATAAAAATAAGAACTTGGAATCTCATAACAAGATTTGAACAAGATTATTGAGATTTCTGTAACCCTTTTTCCGTGTAGGGCAAAGAAATAACACGGCAATAATGTTGATGATTAAGGTCAGAAATTAGAAAATGGAAGTGATAGTGTTTAAGCATACATGAATAACTGGAGAGTACAGATTTTGAAAGGATGAACACAAGTGTACAAATAGTAACACTGCTAGTATTTGCATCAAAAGCAGAGATCTACGCCTTTACACAGACTTACAAACTTTTTCAGAAAATTTTATTTTAAAAAAAAAAAGCTTCAAATTTTCCAAACCCTAACCGAAGAAGAGAGTGAAAATCCGCAACTTATTTGATTTAGCAATGAAAAAAAAGAGATAAAAAAAAAACAAAAAAAAAAAAACCCCATGATTTTGGAAGAGGTTTAGAGCAATAACCAATTGGGGAAATTTTGGTCCTTTTGTGATATGATTTGATCTCATGAAGGTGCAGCGTGAGGAGGAGGCAAGGGGTGTTGAGATGGTGGGCGCTTTCTTTTCTTGTCGTAGCTGATCCCTCTGGCCTTTGACTGCACATCACGAACCTCACGAAGATACAGCCTCACAGCTCTAGCCCCAAATGGATTGGCTTCAGGCTTCCCTCCATTCTCTTCAAAAGCGGCTCGAAGCCGCCCCACCAAAGCGTCGAGGCTCCCCCACGCCTGCCGAAGAGGGCATGGGCAGGGTGCGGGAGGGTTCGGAAGGCCGTAGAAAGGGCAGATGGGTGTGTGCACTTTCGTCTTTCCAAATTGATCTAGGTACCTGCGCTCACTCACAAAGCTTGTAACTTTGAAGCAATTCAGTTCATTTTTTATTTGAAGTAATTTAGTACCTGAGGAATTCGAGGACATGAGCTCCGCTACATCGTGAGAGGGCGAGCGGTGGGCGATGATTGTTGAGGTATTGACCGAAAGTTTTCCAGTCACGGCGCTTTTGATTCTCATATCTGCTGCTGGAAGAGGAGGCTGTTGCGGAGTGTTGGTGGTTCATGGCGATGTTGTTGTTGTTGTTGTTGTTGATGTTGATGCTATTGCTGCTACTCCCTGAGAAGTCCATCCTAATTTCCTTTCCTTTTCTTTTTTGGTCTGTTTGTTAAAGACTGTTGGTTGCAGCTGATTTTTGAAGAGACAAAATCAGGGTTGTTGTTGTTGCTGTTGTTATAGGGCAGTGATATGGGGATTGTAAGGAAGAAGGTGAGGAGGGTAAAGTAAAAGGTGGATTTTTGATGAGATTGGGAAGAAGATGTGAAGAAGGGCGTATTGTTTGGATTTGTGTAGTTGAAAGGATATTGGTTTTGTTTGGGGTTTTCTAAAAAAGGTAGAACAACTAAGTTTTTTGGTGATTGATGGGATTGTTCTTCCATTCCCTCTCATCCAAACTGTACACAAAGAGAGAGGGAAAGAACAGTGAGTTGAGTTTTGGAGACAACAAGATGTTACATTTAGCAACCCTTCCTTTTTTCCTCCTTTCTGGACAATTTTACCCTCATATTAAACATCTTAAGATCAATCAAATATGTGGACATTAAAATTCAAATTAATTCATATTTATTCATTTCATACTTATTTTACTATTTATATTTTCTTTTTAATAATTTGATGTTGAGAGGTGTGAATTTTTTTGGAAGGTTGCTACGTAAAAGCTGATTGTGGGCATTGCGACAGATGGGTGGCAGTGGAAGACAAATGGAGTTGGTAGTTAAATGCAGGGTAAGAGATGAAAACTGATAGTTAATTTGTTGTACCCTTCTTTTTTTTCAAAACATCACATCTTTTCGTTTGTCGATGACATGTTCGATCAAGAGGTCAAGACTTTGAATCATTCGATTATGAACGTAAGATTTAAACTGATAACTTAGACTCATAACTTCTTGACTAATTTAGGTACGAATGAATGGGAAAGTTTTGTCCACGGTACATTCGAGAACACCAGTTAAGGGTAGAATGACTTTATTATGGGCCAAAGGGTATCCGCTTCTCCTCCACAAAAATAAGGATGGTTAGATTACAAGGCCTACAAAAAGGGAGAGTTAAGGCCTGTTCGTACCCTATTATCCTTCAAAACAATGATTCACACAATTCTAAATGTTAATACATTTAAGGATGTTTGCATCACTCACAACTTAATTCTTCAGTCTCTTAGGTTGTTCTTAGAAAACTTCGCTCCCTCTATAAAATAAGCAATTAATGGGTGAATCAATGTATAATTTAATTAGTTCAGACATATTTTGTTGATCAAAATATTAGAGATTTAAATACAGATGGAAGTCGACATAAATAGAGATAAGGGAGAGTCGCTTTCTGGTGGCGACAAATAGTTCAGGGTTGCTTCAAGGGTGTGTCCAAATGGATGTCCTTGTTGCTCCCTAATCCGATCAATTGGTGACTATTAACCAAAAAGATGGCACTGTTGTTGATGGAAGATTGATTGTGATCCATCCTTAGAACACATAATTCAGTGGAAACATATCCACCTTCTCCATTACTTTCTAACAGATTTGAAATTTTGTGACCAAAATCATAGAATTTGAACAAACTACCCTCAGCTCCTTTTCATAATGTTTTCT